GAAACTTTAGAGAGAGATACACATAACAGATATTGAGAAATTGAATGACGTGGAGAAAAAATGTGAGTTACGCAAGGCAACGCTAAAGCACTGATTACAAGAGTGAAGAGAAGAATATATTCTTTAGAGAAGCTAATAAGTAGTAGACATGTAGAAGATGCAGTTAATTAGTTAAAAATGATAGAATATAAGTTAAGAAAAGATAGAAAAGAATAAGAATGTACTGCGTGTAAATATTAGTCGTTATTAGTTCACACATTAGTGTATAATATAGTGTGTAATATAGTAAGAAAAGTGTAGTATAGTATGTAACATAGTAAGAAAATGTGAAGTATGGAAAAGTGTATGAAGATTAACAGGTAATTTGTAAACCAAGTCCATTACTTGGACATAAGGTTGGAGTTATTGATAAAATAATAATAAAAAAATAATGATATTGACACAATTATCATCATTACATTGTCATGATCAATGATACAGTTTTAAATCAATGTACCTTCAACAGTCATAATTCTCATGTAGAACAAAAGGAGAGTCTTATACTGAAAGATGAAATATCAATAGTGAGGAACTATTGTAATACTATTGGAGAAGTTATTTTCGTTTATTTGTTTTGCCCTATCATTAGTTTATTTTAGATAAATAGTATTATCGTTATTTGAGAGAGTGACAAAAAGAAGAAACATCAAAATTAACACAAATTATAACGTTACTGTTACTTTTCGTATCATGCTCTCCAATGTTTTTCTCTTTAAATAGAATTTTCTTCATTTATTTTTTACTTGAAAATAAAATATATCTTCCTTGCAATTGTACAAAACAAAAATAGTTAAAAAAAATTAAGAATTAAAATTACTTCGAAAATACTGTCAAATAAATAAAGAGAAACAGTGGACTATGATCTCCCCAGTTGCACAAACTAAGAATTGCACGTGCGTTTTATGATTTTATAATGACTGAAGCAAAAACCGATATACATATGTACATACATACAAAAATCAGCAATGTGTCAATGAAATATGAAATGTAAGTACTCATATAAACGAATACTAATATAAATATATAATATGTTATATATAATATATAATATACTAATCTATAATATACTAAAATATATACTAATATGAATGAATACAGTGAAGCATATAAACACGCAAATAAAAATAATACATCAATGACAAATTGATTATACAATCATCAAACGATTATATAAATAATATTAGAACTTCATTCAGTTTTTCTAATTTTCACCGATCGTATTATGAAATTCGTTCATACATACCTGACCAACAATATCTGGATTATTCCTCAAAGTATCAAACAACAATTTGCCTACGCTGGTATATGGACTATGACATTCCACCACTTTCCCTTTCACTACTTTGTTTTCAATTATAAAGGATGGTTCAGTCTAAGAACAATAACAAAACCAGGATAACATTAGTATCTCCTCTGTGATTATCATTGAAATGATATGAGGAATATCTATGAATTATATTCGTTCAAATGTCTTACGTTGTTATCCCTTGATTTATTCACCATAATGATTGTTAAAGGAAAAAATTCTGTCTATAGAAAGACAATCTTCTTTCTTCTAGAAAGGCAATCTTCTATCTTCTTCTGTGCAAGAATATGTAGTTGTTCGATCCGATTTCTGGATCGAGAAAGAGAACAGATACACTTGGCGATCGACGAACGACTATAAGGAAAATCATTCAATGGCAGGCTTTTCCTTTGTGTGCAATGCTTTGCCCCTCTATCGTCATGCTTTGTACGCACTGATTATTATCATCAGTATAGTTGTTGTACATGTTGATCTTCTGTAATGAATTGCTCAACCGATGATTTGTACCTTGATTTTTGTATCTTCAGATGATGTGTGTCTTTGATTAGGAAAAAACTTAGACTTTCCTATGTTTTTCTTTAAACCTGTTTCTATTTTCTAGCTTTCCTGTTTCCTGTCTGTAAGCTTGTACATATTTTACTTCTTGTCGGGAATATTTTTTAATTTCCGTATAACATTCTGTATTTTTGTATTTAATTTTTAAAAATCTTCTTATCGTTTTATCACTATTTAAAAGTTTACTTTTAAATAGTTTTATTTTTAAAAATAATAGCAATTTTTTTCAAAGTCACAAGTTTTTCTACTTTATATTTACAATTATTATTATTGAAGGAATATTTTATATTAACTATATCATAAAGTAATTTGTGAGAGAGATAAGAAAGGTTTGTAATATTAAAAGCAACACAAATTAGTAGTTATATAATAAAAAACCACTTGTCACAAATTACGTTACTTCAAGAACATGTAAATTCATGTTGAAGAACATGTAAATTCATTTATTTTAAGAGTTGAATTACAAGTTGAAAAATCATTGTCGTATGTTAGATAATTATAAAATTATTTATTGAAATGAATATATATTCATATAATATAATATGATATAAAAATAATAATATATATTATTATTTTTATATTATATTTATTTTTATATTATGTTATATTATTATATTATATTTATTTTTATTAATAATATATATTCATATAATATAATATAAAAATATAATATAAATTCATTATAATATAAAAACTATAATATGACAAGAAAAGTGATATTCAAATAGTATTCACAAAATTATTTAAAATTATTTATTAATTAATTATTTTAAAAAAGAGAATATATTGTAATTACGAAGTTACTTAATAAATCTGTAATTATCATATGAAATTATAAAATTTTTATGTCAAATTTGTATGGTTATTGAATATCAATCAATAATTCTTGCTATTGATCAAAATATCGTTCAAGAAAGTAATGTTTTTCCTTTTTTTTTGACATCTTTGTAATACTTTCGTTAATTCCAAAAGATGAATTTTCAACTTTCCATTGCAAATAGACCAACAGCATTTATTATTAATTGTTATTTAAATTTTTATCTCCTGAATTATTATTTAAATTATTATGTATTATTGTTTAAATTTTTTCATCAACTTGCTGTATCTTCATGGTACAGATAACAGTTATAATGCAAAACAATACATCTAGAAAACAATTCTGCATTGTCATAGCATTACACAATTGCTATAGAATTTCTAGATAAGTCATACAATACAATGTATAATCTATTGGTATAGATAAAAGATCTTTTTATTTTAAGCTAGAAAATTTTTTCTGTAACCTCATGCCTTTTTGTTCCTCCAGTTTTTTTCGCAATTCGTCGATTTCCGGCGAAGTGACAACTTGAGATTGTTGCCGTGGTTTCCACGATGGAACAACACACCTGGTCGTTGAAGAATAATTGCCGTAAGAAATGAAATTGAGGATTTTTATCTATTTTTAATTTTAACGACTACTGCTGAGACGAATTACATTCTTTTTAGTTGTCACGTTTCTTCTTATTAAGGAAATGAAACGTTTATTAACGTTTACGTTTGAAAACGTTTAGTCAAACTTTCCAGTACATAAAAAAGTACTCAAATATTGAAAATTTCAAGCCTTCGAACTTCTTAATTTCTGAATCTTTGAACTCAATTTTTAATTCTTCAATTTCAATTAATTTAATTCTTATTTGATTCATAAATTCGAACTTCTGAATTCTCCATTTCATTATTGTATAAAATAATGTTACACTTAGGCAATTTTCACGTGTCATTTAATTTACTGTTTAATCCTTAATGGATCAATACTAAATTCGAGTCAATATTAAATTCGAGAAGATCCACTTTTCTATATCTAATTCTGCACTATTTTCTTTATCTGAATACAAAAAATAAAAAGGAACTTAATTCCTTCTTTATCTTGAATACAATAAAAAGGAACTTAATTCCTTCTTCATTCTTTTCAAAATTATCTCTTCAATTTCACGTATCTTTTCTTATCATCAATATTAATAACGTCGTCCATATCTTTTATAATTTGCTCAAGTTTGCTACAGTTATAATTTGCTCAACACTTAATTACACAATTAATAATTACACAACTAACTTGCTTGCTTTATATTCCTCGAGCGCTTTTCGCGTGTCGTTGATCAAATTTCTTTGCCTTTCCCGTTCTCGATGAATAACAGACTTTCTGGTCTTTATTTCCTCGTCCAGTTTCATCTTCATCCAAAATAGTCTCTCTTTTAACTAAACGAAAGATTACTGCATCAAAGTGATAAATTAACTGTTAATTGTTTAATAGAAATGCCACAAACCTCCGCCAATGACATTTCACACAGAAGACCCAAGCCACTTGACTCTGTTGGATCGAAATCCTTGAAAGGCAATGCACGTAAGGATTGGATCGTTTTGATCTCTTGAATCAGTTTGATCTTCCTCTGAGTTTCTTCCTCTCGTTGTTTCATCAGCTGAGTTTTCAACTGACGCGACTCTTCAGTGACTTCTGCAGCTGATAGTACATTTGAAAAATGACATTTCATCGAACTCTGCGTGCTAGAGTCGGTTATGTTAGTGATACCAACGACGTTTCGCAAGCGATACGTAAAATGATGTCACGAATTATCGTATCATAAATTTATACATAAATATCACGAATTTATATTTTTCAAAATATAATCAAAGAGATAGAATCTCTTGGTGGAAAATTGTATTATTAAAAGCACTGTAAATTATTTAAAACACTGTATTGTGGATATTTTGTATATTTTTCTTTTTAGTATGTGCATTTTCCGCAAATCTATAAATTCATAGTCAATTTATAGTGATTCGAATCAGAGATTATTCCTATGATGCAGTAGTCGAGAAATTAATTCTTTGTTTATTAAAAAATTTTAAAAATTCTCTAATTCCTATTTATAGCTCTTATATAATAAAAAAGATTGTTTTGTTTATAAAGTTATAAGAACAGAAAACCTTTCTGTTTCTTTTCGTCGATCATAGCGTTGAAAGCTATGCGTGAAGCTTGCTCGATCTCGTGGCATTTTTCAACGATTTCCGCCATTTCTTTGTTGTGGTTCTCCCTCCATTTCTCCAGTTTGTCGTAAAGTTGTTGTTTCTTTAAGAATCAAGCAACAGATTTAAAAACTTTTGCTTGACGCCAGAGAATCCTCTCGGAGAAACATTAAAATTATCTGTGGATGAAACGTGTTGAGTTACATTACCTCCTTTCGCACGCTCTCTGCGTGCATTTTAATATCATTCAGCAGCGATTGTTTCGCAGTAAACGCATTCTCGCGAGTCAACAATGCCAAAAGATGTTTCTCCTGTATTCTCAACAATTCCTCTTCTCTCAGCCGCTGACGTTTCTCTTCCTCGAATTTTAATATCGAAGCTGAATCGAGGCCACCTTCCGCTAATGCTTTCAATCTGCAATTTTTATTAAGATCAGCGACAAGAGAAATGTAATCCAGCAAATCTTCAAACATAAATAATCACTTCTTCAAATTTATTTTATTGATAATATTCCATTATCAATTTTATTTGATGATTCCATTTACGTATTAGTAAAGATACCTCTTTATTTCTTTCTCTTCGACGCTGATCACCTGAGCGCACTCTCTCAACGTTGAAGCCACTGTCTGCTTTATCTCGACTGGCTGCAATTAATAAACATTATGGAAATTAGGTAGAGAGAAGAGAAATAAAGAGGATTAAATAGGAAAGAAAACTATTTCAAAGCACGTAAAATTTTTTCTTTTTCTTTTTTTAACAAAGGATCTTTTACCTTAAATGGAGCAGATGAAGAAATTGAGAAATTTAATGGCGGGAAAATTTAAATAATAAATTTTTAAAAAATGATTCGAATTGTGTCACGCACCTTAAATTTTGGAATCGATCTTCTCGCAAGAATTGCTCTCGGTTTCTCTCTTTCGATCGATCTGCCCAAATCTTTACGCCGTTGGGAGCAACTTGGAGCATTTTTGTTTGCGTCTTTCAACAAATTCAAAGCGTTCATTCTGTTGGTTGCTCGCAGCGACTCCAATTTTGACTCCATCGATGGTTTCAGGTAGTTCGTCTTTGGAATTCGACGCGCGAACTTCATCACCGACAAGTCCTATCCATGATATGATTCTTCAAAAAAGGAAATCTTAATTCAACGGCTTTAACTTGCACAAAGTCGTGAAATGTAACTGTCAATTCGATAGCTGCATTTTAGGACAAATGATACAAATTTATATATGAAAAAAAATATTTTCAACAAAGATCGTTAAAAGACATTTAATTAACACTGAGGCCATTAATTAAAGGCCATCATCATTTAATGATCGAGCTAATTTTGAAGCGTAAATTGAAAGTCAATCAGTTAATTAATCAATTAGATAAATCGTGGGAACTTTCAGTTGTTATTGAGTATAAAAAAAAAATTCCAATTGTGATATGTAAACAATAAAAAGAATTAATTGAATATTAAATTATAGACTAAAATACTACTATATAATACTATTATATAATACTACTATATAATACTTTTTTTAAATTATAACTGCAAGTTACTCACTTCGGGTGTAGCAGGTGGCACTTTCAATCGTATCTTCGGCCGATTCAAAACATTCATAAACATAGGAGTGGTCAATTCCTTTTTAGGAGCCTTCGTATTTCGCAGATACCCCTTTAAATGTTCTTGAAGTTTCTTGAAATTAATGAAACGAGAACCTAATTAAAATTTTCTCAGAAAATAAAAAAAAAAAAAAAAA